GTGTAGTAAGCCATTGTTATAGATCGTGGCCGCCATTAGAAGACGGCGCCGGCTTCCACTGTGGCCTATGATAAACAACTCCTTTTATGGAGAGTTGGCACGTAATCCCTTATCACCCTATGAGAAAGATCCACGTGGCGGCTTAAGATTGGTATGCGGGAGGCTTTATTAGGCTATGCTTGGGCGCTCGGCGGGGGGGGGGGGGGGGCGCTAGAAGATGATACTTGAATCAAGGCCTGAATAAACTGCTGAAAGAAGAATCCTGTGTCGTGTGTTCCCTTGCCGGCGAGGGGTCGCGACAGCCATGCTCCTGCCCAATTGTCTATTGCTTCAAACAGAAAGAAACTGGCTGGTTCTCAGGTCAGCCACACTGTTTCCTTCTGACCCTCCCAGCTAGTCCCACCAGTCGTTTTCATGGATCTCTCCAATTCTATCCATTTTCTGAAGGTCTCATTATTTTGATTCCTTTACCTACTTGGCAAGTTTTATCTCTGAACTTACATTTAATTTCTTGTCTTCACCATATTTTAAGCATTTGCTCAAACATGTCTATCCAAAAAGATGCAGATATAAAAGCTATTCTAAACTCTGTTAAGAAAAAGGCTAGCCACAAATCAATTGAAATTGTGGTCCTGTGTTGGCAATGACACATTTCTGCATAAGTTGAAAGGGAATATAACGATGGTTAATGGCAGCATATTGCTAGAAATCTGTGTCCCCAAGACCAATCACATTGGTTAGGCCAAGTACAGAGCAGTTACTCAGTACCCCTGAAGAAATGGTCAATACAGAGCATGAGATCCTGTTTGAATTAGTTTACTTTTTCTGCTATAAGAAATTATAGTCATTCCTTGGTATCCACTGGAATTGTCCCAGAAACCCCCTTGGATATCCAAATCTGAAGATGCTGAAGTCCCTCGTGTAAAATGGTATAGTATTTGTTTATAACTTACACACATCCTCCTGTAGACTTCAAATCATTTCTTGGTTATCTATACTATCTAATACAATGAAGGCTATGTAAACAGTTGCTATACTGTATATTTTGGGCATAATGACAAGGAAAAAAAAGAAGTCTCTACATGTTCAGAACAGATGCAGTTTTTTTTTTCAAAAAAAAAAATTAAGAATGATTAGCTTAATCTATGAATTTGGAACTCAGACACAAGAGATCCAATTGCACCACCAACCTGATTCTCTTAAAACAACACAAATCTGTTAATGTTCTAGTCTGAAGGTCAGAAGTTCAGATGGATGTCACTAGGCAAAGGTGTTGGCCAGGCTGCCTTCCCTCTGGAGGCTCTAGGGCACCTTCTTGCCCTTTTTCAGGTTCCAGAGGCTGCCCACAGTCCTGGGCTCATGGTACACTTCCAGCACTAAGCCACTCCAACCCCTGCTACCATCATCATCTCATGGTCTTCCCTCAGCCTTTGACCTCCTTCCCTCTGTGATAGGGAAGGACCCTTGGGTCTACATTGTACACACCTGGATCATCCAAGATCATCTTCCCATCTCCAGATCCTTAATCATATCTACAAAGTCCCTGTGCCATGTAAGGTTCCATACTCACAGGTTCCAATGGTTAGGATGGGGACATTTGGGGGGGGTCCATTATTGAACCTACCATCATTGTCCCATCAGCTTCCATAACCTACAGGTATCTTCATTTTAATTGAGGACACTAATCTCAATAACTTCTCCTTAAATTCTGTTCCTTCTCATATTGTATCTCAAGTAACATCCTTAAACTAAAAGAACCTCTAGCTAAAAACTTGAGTGTTGTCCCTGCTCCCTGTTGCTGTACTCCTCACCTTCAATCTGTCTCCAGAACCTACTCAGGAACACCACCTGCTCCAGGACCCTCTTCCCCTCTCTCACTGCCTGGGCTCAAGCCCTTATCTCTCCTGCCTGGACAGTGGACAGCCCATTGTTCTCCTCTGCCCCCACTCCTCCACCCATCTTCTGCACTACTGCCCAGTCCGCCTTTTTCCACGACAGCTTTGGTCACCCCATCCCCTTCTGAAAGACCTTTGCTGACTCTCTACCTACAAGGTCCCCAATTTCACTTCAAGTTACACCACATTCCAGGGTTGGTTCTTTCCCTCTTCCCACACCCTGTATGTCCCACCTGCTACAGCATATGCTTATGCCATCGTCACCCCCTTATTCACCATGCATGTGTTCCAAGATGCTCTGCCAGGACTTAAAACTGTAGATAGTACCAAACGCTATATATAGAGTATGTCATTTCCTATGTTGGTGGACCTATGATAACGTTTAATTTATAAATTAGGCACAGTAAGAGATTAATAGCAACTAGTAATAAAATAGAACAATCGTAACAACATACTGTAATAAAAGTTAACTTAAAATTTATGAATTATTTATTCCTGAAATTTTCCATTTAATATAGACCCCGGTTGACCATGAATAATTGAAACTGTGAAGAGTGACTGGGCAGATGGGGGGCGGGGAACGACTGTATACCCAGCTCAGAATGCCCCACAATTCACCAAACACACCCTACTCTTGCCTTCCTCTGAGATGTTACTCATTCTGACCCCTGCTATCCGGAATGCCCCTCTCCCATATTTTGCTTTCAAAACTCATACAGGTTTTATTTTAATCCTCTCAAATCTGGGAGAGTGTGGTATTGTGAGCTCTTGTTCTAGATGGGCAGATAAGCCAGAGCATTATATAACTGATCCCAAATCAAACACTTAGTAATTGGTACAGCTGTCCTTACATGCCAGGCTCCAACTCCTTTTCTGGACTTCAGTGGGCAGCTCCATCTCTCAGGTCTGATTATTTCATTACTTGGGTTCTCATTTTTCTCCAGAATTCCTCCAGATTTCCCTATGAAATAAAACTAAGACTTTGTAATGGTGCTCTCACCCCCAGTACCCAGTCCAGCTTCTTCTCCACTTGGCAACGAGAGCTGAGTGGTAATTTTAAAACCACAAGTCGTGACGTTTTAATGTCCCTACTTATATTCTGGCTTAAATCCCCTTAATGGCTGATTTTCTACTTCTCTTGAGATGATCATGAATCTCCCAAAAAATGTTCTCCCTGGACTTACCTGCAGCCTGGGTCCTGCCTGCCTGTCCAGCCTCACCTCACATACCACCCTTCCTTCTCCCCTCTGGGGCCATCTTGCCTTCCTTTCCATTTCTTGGACTCACCCTCTTCCTCCTGCCACGTGGTCTTTGCTCATGGTCTTCCTTCCGCTGGAATGTTCTTCCCCCTTTTCTCAGGGAAGTTAAATGTCTTATCATCTTTCTAATTTCACTTCAAATGTCACTTCTTTAAAACTGGTGATCTGCCTAATTCAGAAGATTTTTCTCTAACCACTTTGCCTCTTCTTTAAACACTCTGCATATAATCTAACCCAAATCAAACCCAAATATTAAAACATATCAAGAGTATTCTATTGAACAGTATCCTTTAAAATGAAGAAAATTGTTGTTTGTTTTTTCTAGAAACTCTTGAGTTTGGCCCCTGGCATTTCCCAATAATGATCCCTTAGCGCACTCTTCATAACGTCATTCCATTTCCTGCCCTCCTCATGCTTCTTCTCTTTCCCCCCATGTGATTCCTCACCTCGTTCTGAATACTTGGAAAATTTTAGCATATGCTTATGATTGGTTGATTAATTGAATGGGTAGGTTTCATTTATGTTTTCATCTTTTTAAAAAAAAATAGTTTGTCAGTTTCTTAAACAACTAAATATGCAACTACCATACAACCCAGCAACTATACTTCTGGGCATTTACTATAGAGAAATGAAGACTTATGTTCACACAAAAACCTATACACATGTTTAAAGCAGATTTACTCATAATAGTCAAAACTACCCACATGTCTTGAACAGGTGAATGGCTAAACAAAGGTGATGCACCCCTACTACGGAATAGTACTCAGCAAGGAAAAGACACTAACTACTGACACAGGTGGCAACCTAAATGAATACCCAGAGAATGACACCAAGTGACAAAACACCAATTCCCAAATGTGGTATAGTCTATATTACCCCATGTATATTCCATTTCTATAACATTCTTGGTTTTCAAGATGTTATCATGGGGGGAAACTGGGTAAAGGGTATGAGGACTCTGTCTGAATTATTTCGTACAACTGCATGTGACTGAAGTCAATTATTAAAGTTTTTATTTTTTTAAAAAAAGGACTTGTTTACTAAAGTAGACAGAACACACTGAGTTGTTCACCGACTCAAGATCACTGTGGAGCCATCAGATTTCTTCTTGCTTTTTTTTTTCTGGTGATTCATTGGTTATTTACTATTCCCTAAGGATTTCACTTCCTTCTACTCAAGATGTACATGACCTTAATCCCTCTGAGGTTATTTTCACAATTATTGAAGTTGGTGGGTTTTAGAGTACTTGTTCTTTATGTCCCTTTGTTGCCTCTCATACAACCACTCTGAATTTTGTCTTTTCTGACCAAGAGACCACTGACAGGTTTTTCCTGTCCCCAGAAGAAAATCACAAAGGATAATCATGTCTCCCTCACTGCACAAGTAGAAGAGGCGTGTTGAAAGGTCGCACTTCTGCCACCTGCCACCTCAAGTCTCCTTGTCTATTCCCAGGGTACCCTGCGCTCAGTGTCGGCATTATACTTCAACAGGTTGTCCTTGTTTGGAAACCTGTGACTGGCTGTTGTTCGAATTTGTCTTCGGTCCTTTTCATCTCTTCATTTCTTTGCCAACATTTAATACATTCTGCTGATGATCACCCTTATTGGATTTCATTTTCTGTTATCTTCACCTAACATGCTTTATTTCGGTTTTCACTGTCTCCCCACACACACGAGCCAATAACTGGAGTGACCTGAAGGGTCCATATGGTGACGCAAACCCTTGGTCAGACAGCCAGTGAGTGCTAAGGCAGTTTTGACTGACAGCAGAGAAGAATCAGCATTGCATTTTTTTAAAAAATTGATTTTCATGCTAAAAAAAAATTCTTTTTGTTTTTCTTTTTCAGTGATTACAGAAAAAAACCAGGAACGTAGTACCAACCAGGTATTTCTACACTTCTCATAAACTGTAAGATAGAATTTTGTTTTAAATGTTGATGATCAAGCATGTGTAAATGTTGAAAGTGTTATGCTGGTGGTTAGATATGAGCAATGCATGTTATTGGTTTTGAGAACAAATAAACTCGTCCACTGTGGATGATCCTGCAACTTTCTTTGTCTGTCCCCAACCCTATTCCTTCTCTCTACCTCTTCCTACCCCAAAATGGGAAAGAGTAGACAAATAGACTCTGTGAGGTCTAGCATGTAAGTGTCCCTCTGACCATACTGGGACCTCTGCATACCATGATGGCAGAAATATCTTTACCTACTTTTACCTAAACAAAAGTGATTCTCCTTTGGGATTTTTCTCAAGTGCTAATTCACCCAGCTAAAAGTCATTCCCTCCTCAGCAGCTAAGGACTGAGCCCCTGGCAGTGGAAACCCACCCCCAGGTGACCTCCCTCTCTGATCTTTAATGTCCATTCACTGTCCTCCGGCATCTTCCTGTCTGCTTCTCTTTTCTTACCCAATCTTCTTACTAATCTATTCTTTCTATTTTCGAATGTATAGAACCTTTCTATATAACCTTTAAAGGGGCTTGAGATCTTCAACCACACAAACCAAAAGAGGTCTGCACCAAAACCCCCTAGTGACCCACTCTGCCTTGTCCCTCTGTGAGCCAGTTTAGCTGCAGTGTCTCCACAGGCCTGTGAACTAGACTCAGAGCATGCAGACATTGGCCTGTAGCAAAATGTGCTCAGATTTCACTCACAGATACAAATCTCCTTGTCTTATTTATTTTTCCTTCTCTGGCATGAATTACAACTCACCCTTGCCAAGGAGAAAAGTGGTCAATCTACATTGATGCCAGTCAAGGGTGCACTTTTCAAAGTCACCTAATGTACTGCAAAGTAAGCTCCAATTCTAATTCCCATTGTCAATCTACCCAGAGTTCTAGCTTTAACCTAATCTCACCCAACTTTGAACATAGAGACCTCATTTCACTAATATACTGTTACTGCAGAATCAGTAGGCAAAATTGAACACATTAGGGGTTTTTTTTGTTTTTTTATGTTTGTTTGTTTGTTTGTTTGCTTTTGAACAGAAGTGTCAACGTTGCTGGGAGCCATAGCATAGCACATGCCTGTAATCCCAGGGGCTCTGGAGGCTGAGGCAAGAGGATCCCACGTTCAAAGCCAGCCTCAGCAACCTAGCCAGACCCTAAGCAACTTAGTGAGACTCTTTCTCTTATCAAAATATTAACAAGGGCTGGGGATGTGATTCAGTGGTTAAGCACCCCTGAGTTTAATCCCTAGTACAAAAAAAGAAAAAAAAAAGCATAAATGTTGGTTTTGCAGCCAACTTAATACCTGAGAATGTTGTCATTGTATAATAAAGTCGGTTGGCCTTTTCAAATCGTTTATTTGCCTTTGAACTTAATCTCTTTATCATCGTATTTGCAGTTATTTGTGTGTACCCAAACGGTTTCATAAGCCTGAGCGACAGTTAACCCGTAAAATTTATTGCCGCTCTTTTCATTTAAGTCACATAGAGAATACTTTTCTTATAAAGAGATGTTTTCTCATTAATTTATTAAGTTAAAAGCAGTTGGTCAAAACATATATTAAATTCACTTCTTACAGGCAAATTGTCATTTCCTGCATTTTCCTACTTTGTACATTTGGCTAAACGAATAGAATATGCAGACACCAAAACAGAATATTTGGTCATATAATCTTAAACATGGATTTGATGCCAGATACAATCAAGATGGCTGCTAAAGAGACTGACATTCTTCGAACTGTAACTAAGAGAAGGCGATCTTACTACTTTATACAGTCATTCTCAGAACAGATAGTTGTATCGTGCCTTCATTGTCTACCAGCTTATATTTCTAATCCTACCATGGAATTTCTATTCATTTTTCTTCCAATTAGGGATGTGTTCTCCACTCTCAAGAACACACTGGCAGTACAATTCAAAACCCGACTTACACCTCTAATTGATCTCAATCCTGGCAAAGAGTCAAAAACCAGAGTCACCCCCTTTTTCAAACCACTCTGCCACCAAAGGAATTTGGCTCTTGGAAAACATTTTGAAAACTCACTTTGGATAATCAATATAGTATTCTTTATCAGACAAATGCAAAACGGAGCACTGTTGAGCATTAATCTTGCCCCTAAATCCTTCCCACTAGGCACTATAGATTGAGTAATTAAATTGAAATTGAAAATCGAGTCTTTTTTTTTTCCTTCTTCTTTTTTCTTTGTTTCCACCAGGCAGGCTATGAGTTGTGTACCAATGTGAGAAATCAGGGCTGGGGAGGAGGGAAGCTCCATCCTGCTGGCCAATAGCCAATGTGCATTTTTAGCTCCCAGCTCATTTGCCACACCTGAACTCAGAGAACAAACAACCATTTGAGTCCTCTGGAGGGAGCCTTGGATTCTTTTCTGTGTAATTCACTGGGGAAATTAGTATGCATTTTTAAAGTAACTTGTTAATGTAGCTTGTTTACCAGAAGAGGACAAAAATGAGCAGCGAACTGCTTGGCAGCTTAGGTCCCAGAAAGGGATGAATGCATGACCCATTTTTTTTTTTAAGCTGTCTCTTTGGCAATTCAACGCTGCAATCATTTCCTGTCTGGAAAATGTTACTCGTGGAGATGAAATCTCCTATAGGTTTTTACTGCATAATTTTCACCACGGTAGATTAAAGAGAATACCTTAAAAATGCTACCCCCAAATAATTTCAAAAACCAAATTAAAATATGGTCATCATCATGAGAATAGGAAAACTAAAATATAAAAACCTTTCATTTAACTTTTGGAAAAAATGCCTTATTCTATGGTAGACAATGGAAATGTCTAGTAAATTAATACCTTCTGTTTATGTTTCTTTATATAGTAGATAATGGAGCCCATACTGAATTAATACCTCGTGTTTGTGAAGCCAGGTGACGGAGAGTGACACTGGATAGGAGGCTCCTTTTCCTGTGGGGAGATGTGCAGGATGTGGAGAATATTCCAAGTTGAAGATAGCTGGCTCTAATCACCCAGTTCAGAGAGGCCAGTCTGTCAGTGTGTCTTGAAATCTACCTTTGAGTTTCCTAGCATCACCATGGCACAGGACCACAAACTGAGAGGACCAAAACACAGATATGTATGGTCTTAACAGTTCTGAAGTCTGAAATCAAGGTACCAGCAGGGGCCTTCTCCCTCTGAAAGGAACTGTTCCTTCCCTCCCACTTCCTAGATTCTCAGGATTGCCAGCTCCAGCAATCCTTGGAGCTCCTCTGCCTGTGGTTGTAGTGCTCCAGTCTCTACCTCTGTCCTCCCTGTGTGACTCCCCTTTTATAAGGATGCAGCCAGAACGAACTCATCAGAACTTGATTATGACTGTAGAGATACCACTTCCAAATATGACCAAACTCCCAGGGACGAGGTGTCAGGACTGCAACATATCTTTTGGGGGAGAAACAGTTGAACCCATAATGAGCTGGAAATCTTAATCACCTCAATTCCACCTCCCCCTCTGGCTGTTGAGCACAGAAAATCCGCCCCTATTGTTAGCACTGATTATTCACCCTGGCTGTGCATCATAATCACTGTGTAAGCTTGTTAGCACTGATCCAGAACCAAAGTCCCCAAGAAGTTTTGAGAAGTTGGATCTAGAGTTAAGTTCAAATGTAGCACAACTATAGTAGAGCAGACCAGGGTGCGGGTCCTATATGCTTTACAAAGCCCCAAGCATCGCAAACACAGAAAAAGCAAAAATAAGTTTTATTTCTTTCTCAGCCTCATGTTTTAAGTTTGAAAACCTGTGGAGCACACATGGAATAAGAAAGAAGAGCAATGAAACTGAGTTGGGCTCTCTGGTCAAGTGGGCTGTGGTCAGGCTGGGGAATAAAAATCACAGCCTGCCTTGGGAAAACCAAGAGAGAGGCTGCTTTAGTTTTTCAGTATCTGCCCCACATCCCCCGAGGCTGGAGGACAAGAGGCACACTGTGCTCCCCCATACTCTCCTCTGCATTTAGGGTGTGAGAATAGTTTGGCATGGTGCTTGGAACCTCCTGGTGCTCTGGAGTCCAGTAAGGCCTGCTGAGCTGGTGACCTAATGACCTTGGCAGAGATAATATTCCCTATCCTTAATGGAGTGTGTGCAATCATGGCCCAGATGTCTCCAACCTGAGCCAAGCTTCCACCCTACCCTCTGCCCAAGTTCCATGGGCCCACTCAGGCCTCTAGTAGCAGAGTGAACTTCATGGAGATTGGGGCTCCTTGAGTCCCCCCAGTCCCAGACTAGGTCTTGGTGGAGTTTCCTTTAAAACTGAAATATTTAGACATACAGAATATAGGCCTCGATTTCCTCTTTTGCTCTAGATCTGACAAATGTTGGGGACAGTCCTACTCAGATATCTGCAATTTCAAAAATTCATTATGTGATTCTAATGAAAAGACAATCCTGAAGAACTTCTCACCTGTAGGCTATAGGATAGATTTCTAACCTTTGAGAAGAAGTCCAAGGTCATTGGATCTTGGTACTCCTTTAAACTAGCCCCCCGCCCCCAACTTCCTAGAATATTTCCCATCCTATTCTTTCAGGAAAACTATTGTGCCATTTATTAAGCCATCCCACCAACACACCAGACCCCTTTTCTGCATGCACAGAATGTGTTCATAAGAGATCTAATTCGAGTATCACCTCTTCCATGGAATATTCCCTAGTCACGCAGCTAAGAATAATCTCTCCATCTCCTGAGGTGCCTTTTTATTTTGACTCCCCTTTGCTGTAGACTTTTTTTATTTTCTACTCTGTATTCCAATTATTTATACCCCAATATGATTTTGGTAATTAGAGAGTATCACTCTAACAGGAAGAAATCTCATTTGGTTCATCTCCGTATCCACTGCTAGGCCTGGCATGTCATAGGGCCCAACCAATTGCTGATCAAATGTAAAATCTTCTGCTTACCAAATTAATACCTTAGTAACCAGAGGGACCACT